GGTCAATATTATTTGGGTGGGTGGTTAAGGGGTTTTTGGGGAGATCGCATCATATTGTCAAATCCCTATCGAAGGATCTCATTAAGGATCTTAACTTTTCTTCAAGTCCCCATCTCTATTAGCCTTTTCTGCCACACCAAGACAATCCATCAATTTTATAGCACAAAGTCAAAAAAATTAGAGTAATTTTAGCTAGACGATTAATAATATTGCTTTAAAAATATAAATTTTATTTCAAAAATTTACATAATGTTTGTCTCACTTTCAAATCAATAATAATAACAATTATTATTAATAATATATCCCACCTACTGATTAGACTAGTCGATCATCTTCATGTTATGTACGTTTGTGTGTACGGTTTCTCATGTCCTATCTAAATATTATTATTATTATTTTCATATGTATAGTATGGCTTTAGCCTCATGTTCCATTTGGATAGCAAAATTCCACGTACTCTTGTAATTAATATATGGTTCTTTTGCTTTTTGCAACATTAATGACGTGTAACAATCGATTTTAATTATTTGAAAGAACATAATTTCGTAAGATAATGACATTTAACAATCGAATCACAAACTTGTTTCCACAAATTTTTGCCATTTTTAGTTGTAAGAGAGAACCAAAGTTTGAATCCAAGGAGCTAAGTTAATTAGTTCTAAATTCATTAATCATACACTTGAGCGTTGATGCTCGATCAACAAACTTTACCGAGCAAATGTTCGAAGTAAAAGTTTATGAGTTTTGAATATTGTCATTGAAATTATCTATTAAGTGTAACTTTTGTTAGTTACAAGGTTTCATGACTTTATCTTTAATGAATTTTCTAATAAAAATATGAGATTTTTAGTAAAGTTTTGAATTTGAATGAATCCATATCTAATTATCTAGCTCACCTTAAAATACAACGTTCAAAGAGGCGAAAAAGATCCTTAAAATTTATAATCGTAAAATGTATCATTAAGACTGATGTAGTTTCCAGAACAAGTATAGCAAATAATTTTCGTGAAAAATAAGTGATTTTTTAAAAATATTATGTATTAATCTTTCATTTTTTTTGGTATGTCCTAAAACAAAAAGGCTTTTTTCTATATTTAGTACTTCTTCCCTCTGGTATTTTTTGTTATGTTGCGTTTTCAAAAATTAATTTGACTAATTTTTAAAGAATTAGATTATATTAATTTGATATTTTAAACAAAAAATTAGATATTTTAAAACTATAAAAATTAAAAAAGGTACTATAAATTGCAATTTTTTACATATTAATATGATTAAAAATATATTTTAAAATGTTAGTTAAAATTTTAATAGTTTGACTCTAAAAATAGAAATTATTACAAATAATATTGAATGGAGGGAGTAAATTTTGCAGTTCCAAATATTTTATGCAAGATTCAGTTCACAAGATCTAAAAAATAATACCCATCTTTCATTTAAAACTAAACAAAAAAAAATTAAACTCTATTCTCAAAATAAATTATTATTTATAAAACTTATTTTTTTGTTAGGAGATAAAAATTATTTTGTGATTTCTAAAGAACATGTTCGTAGAGAAAGGTAGTACTTGTACGTTCCTTGATTGATAAACGGACCAAGGTTAGTGGATAGGTCTCTAAAAGTTTGTTAAGAGTCAAATATATTACAAGTAGATTTGAGATCCCCCACCCCATAAGTAGCTCAAAGTTATAGGTAGAATCTCTATTTCATAACTTTTGCAAAAAACTTCATTTAACTTGTTGCGAATATCGGGTTTATAATTATATATTTATCCATATTAAATATTTTTTAATATTAATATATAATTTTGAAAAAATAACAAGTATTCTCTAGACTATAATTGAAATTCATGTCTTCTTAATTATTCTAAGATCCTATTACCTTACTGAACTTATTGATTTTATAATTTTGTACACCTTTTTGATTTACGTGTGATTTAAATATCTCCACACGCCTCAATGGCATGGAGACACGAAATATGCCATGTAAGATAAAAAAAAATATAAAATTATAAAAAGAAATAAAAATTAGTGGCTAATAGGAATTTATAATTGTTAAGTTGTATTTGTGGAATTTATCATAAAGTTATTGAGCTTGTCTAGGCATGTAGTCAATAACTTAATTATAATCTAACACCACTTCTTTTTTATGGGATACGACGTTCAAGGAAAAAAATGACATTTGAAATCTATGATTGAAAATATGTTTTACTTTTCTATGGTTGTAAAAACATGCCATCAGGGTGTGTTTGATATAAAGAATAATATTCTACTAATTTAAAATATTTTCCATCAAAAGGAGCAATTATTTTTTTAAAATAATAAAATTAGTGTTTAATTGATAGTTTTTGTTGAGGGTTCGAGTTATGTTGTACTATTCTCTTTCGTATAGTTTTCATACTTGTTTTATATGCTTGATTTCAATTTAAAATTTATTATATGTCCTTACCTTTACAATGTAAGATTAAGGGTGCGTTCACACTATCCTCCCTAAAGTTTATTTGTGAAATTATCCATATATGTTGTTATTGGTTCAAGTTACACGAATACTATAATAATGAAGGTGTGATAATTAGGATTGTGGAAAAATAGTAAAAATATTATTTTATCTTTAGTTAGATATCTCGAGTTTGAGTCCTCTTTGGAAAGAGAATTTACCCTCCAATGTTAGATTTTCAAATTTACTCTGACTTCTATGTGAACATCAAACATCGATAAATTATTATTTTTTTTCAAAAAAAGGAGGGGTGGGGTGGATGGGAGGAGTGGGAGATTTTAGTTGAAGAGTCAAATGTATTACTAACCATAGTAAAAGTAGATTTGAGATACCCCCACCCTAAAAGTGTAATTGGTTTCCAAAAATGAAACTAATGATCCAACAATTCATATGCACGTGTGCTGCATATTTCAGTCAAAGTTAAAAGAAAGAAAAGATTCATCGAGCAATGTGACAAAACATTCAACACATAGGTAACTGGATTTGACATAAAATACACAAAGTGCAATGCCTGGTTATTGCTAGCCTCGTCACCTCTTAACTCGTTTTCCATTTAACTATTCATAAATATTACAAAATGTGAATAATATACATGTGTACTCCTCTTCAACCTACCTCACAATTATTTTTTCTTTCTAATTCTAATCGTTTTAATTGAATATATATAATAGTAATTATTTGTAAATCATTGCAATACATCGAACATCCTTAAATGTTTGATATTCGTAGTTTAGATTTGACACAAACGTGTGCATAAAGTATATAGATATATATATATTATCTTTTCCAATATATTTATATAAAAATAATAGTCAGAATCTCTGTTCTTTGATGTGATTAGAGTAGTGGAAGTTTATCTCATCATCTATAAGCATCCAATCTAATCATTTTTAGCGATTTATAACATACTTGCTTTGTCTCCACAGTAAAATGTCCAAAGAGATGAGATATTATTATCAAAATCGTCAATTAAATAGTAAAAAACAAATATATGGAGTTTAGTTATTCCGTCTTATAGTAAAATTAACTGTGTCACTTTAACTACATGAATAACTATAATCCTAATGAGTAATCAGGCGACCGGTGAATTATGGAGAAACATAGTGGACAAAGTTTACAAGAATTTTTTCAAGTACAAAATCTCAGACAACTACTACAGGATTCAGTCTAGGAATTTCAAACTTGCAGTTAGGATTGAACTGAAAACATTACTCCCTTACCCCACTATTCTGTGTGTGTGTCCACTTATATTCACATGGTAACCAAAATATGTGTCCTTTAGTGACTTAAGTAATTCCTTTTAGTTCAGCAGATCTATTTAATGAACATATATACATGTGAACCACTTAGTGCCTTTTAATTTATATTTTACATTTTATTCTACCCTTCTAATAGGGTGGTGTGCATGTGCTTCTTTCGCTTAACACAATGTATAAATTTTTTTTAAATTGAAGTTGTTTATATATACACATCAATACCCTAATGATTAAGGAAATAAAACAGATCATTCTTTTTAACTACTGCTGCTGAATTGTTACTTTGTTTTCATCCGATTTAACAATTAAACATTCATACACACATGACCTGACCACAAAGGGATGAAAACAAAAACTTAACTGCCAATTTTTTGCTTTCTTAAACAAATAGCTAATAACCAAAAAGGAGTCGGTGATCAAATTAAAAAAAAAAAGAAGTTGGAGACTCTTCAGATCTTGACTAGCCATTTAAGTCAATTGGTTGGATTGCATGAAATACAAGTTGCACTAAAACTTACTTCCCTCGGTGAAATGATAAAAGTACTTCTAGAGATCGTTTTGTACCGTATATTAAAAAAAATAATGCATGTGTTAGCTTTATATATTACTCCTTAATCATAGATTTTGGGTTTGAGTACTGAGTCATACCCCAAATATAAGATTTTGAAGCACAAATTCAAATATTTATTAGAAAGATAGAAATAAAGAAAATAAATAAATTAACTCTGCAGTAAAAGACATTGCTATTTATGAAGTTTTTGTTACCCGAGGCTCAGAAACACTGACCTTTTTCCTTTGTAGGGCGTGGGGTTTTAACGTATTAGGCCACCTCCCTACCACAAATCCCTCTATATTTCTTTTTTAAATCTATCTATTCATATAAATCAATTGTTTCGATTAATCAAGATTTATATTATTTGATATTTGAAAATAATCAATATTAGTATCATTTAATATTTGAAAATTACTAATTTCATTAGATTTTTGGCAAAATAAGCCAGATAAAATCTTCATTTCCATTTTAACAATTAGACTGATTCAAGTTTATATCGAATAAATAAAATATAACTATATTAAATTATGTATTTAAAAATTTAAATCACAAAACTTTTGATTAAAGATCACAGAAAAAAAAACCCATCGAACCACAAGGTTAGTGGTCCCTGTGTCCTTTTTAAGTGGGAAAAAAACCCATCTCCTGTTGATGTAGGAGAGTCTATATAAACAGAGCACACGCTTGGCTAAACTAATATGACTCTCTCTTGTGAAGTATAAAGGCAAGTAAAGAAGTCCATACCATTTAGACTACTACTCTGTCTGTGAGGTGGTTTGGTAACTTCTTTTGAAATTTTGAGGTGCATCAATGGCCTTCTTCTTAATTTTTCTTTCATCCTTTTTTGGCCTATGTATCTTTTGTACTGCTTTATTAAGATGGAATCAAGTCAAGTATAACCAAAAAAACTTGCCCCCTGGTACTATGGGTTGGCCACTTTTTGGTGAAACTACTGAGTTTCTTAAACTTGGTCCAAGTTTCATGAAAAACCAAAGAGCCAGGTAAATCTCGATTGTTCAATCATTTATATGATAAGCCACTGTGTGTTAACATAAATTCTGATTATAATTTTGTTGTACTATCAGATATGGGAGTTTTTTTAAATCACACATACTTGGTTGTCCAACAATTGTTTCAATGGATTCAGAACTGAACAGATATATACTAGTGAATGAAGCGAAAGGACTGGTCCCAGGATACCCACAGTCTATGATAGATATTTTAGGAAAATGTAATATTGCAGCTGTCAATGGTTCAGCTCACAAGTACATGAGGGGTGCATTGTTATCCCTAATTAGCCCTACAATGATCAGAGACCAACTTTTGCCTAAAATTGATGAGTTTATGAGATCCCACTTAACCAATTGGGATAATAAAGTTATTGACATTCAAGAGAAAACCAATAAGGTCAGTTACTAACCCAAGTCTTTTTGCCAAATTTATTTTCTTTCCTCTGTTTTTTTCCTCTGTTCTTATATATACGAGTTTTCAATCAGATGGCATTTCTATCATCGTTGAAGCAAATTGCTGGTATTGAATCTACCTCTTTAGCTCAAGAATTCATGTCTGAATTTTTCAATCTAGTGCTAGGCACTCTTTCACTACCTATCAATCTTCCAAACACCAACTATCATCGCGGATTTCAGGTAGAATTTCAGAATACTGTTATTTATGATGTTATCTGAGAGCATCTAATAATCTAGGAAAAATATTTTTCAGGCAAGGAAAATTATTGTGAACTTATTACGAACACTCATAGAAGAGAGAAGAGCTTCAAAGGAAATTCAACATGATATGCTTGGTTACCTGATGAATGAGGAAGCAACACGATTCAAATTAACAGATGATGAGATGATTGATTTAATTATAACTATTTTGTACTCTGGATATGAAACTGTTTCCACCACTTCTATGATGGCTGTGAAATATCTTCATGATCATCCAAAAGTTCTTGAAGAACTTAGAGTAAGTTCAAAAAAATTAAAAATCAGTTAATTAACTACATGGCTATTTTAATTTTTTCTTAATTTTATAACTTTATTTTTTGTTATTCTGCAGAAAGAACACATGGCTATTAGAGAAAAGAAAAAACCTGAGGATCCTATCGATTACAACGATTACAGGTCAATGCGGTTCACACGAGCTGTAAGCGTCTAATATAACACGTTAAATTACATCGATAGTGTATAACATGAAATAAATCAGCATATTGAATCTATATATATATATATATTTTGATTGTGCAGGTGATTTTAGAGACCTCCAGGTTAGCAACAATAGTAAATGGGGTTTTGAGAAAAACAACTCAAGATATGGAAATAAATGGTAAGTACTATTTTGTGGGAAAATCTCATGCATGTTAAATTATAGTTTTTTATCCATTGATCGTTTTTCGCAAGTTATTCAAAGAATATCTACGCACTAACTTCGTTTATGTGATCTTTAAAAGTAAAGATAAGCCGATGATTTAACATTCCAATTATTATTATATATAAAACTTAAAATTAATGTTTATTTGTTATGGTATTTGAGTGATTTTGGTGAAATTATGAGCATCAGATGCAGGGACAATATTCTTCTAATTTAGACTGATTAAAATGTTTAAAATAATAATAGATGTATATAGTATATGATCATCTTTTGTGTTATGGACCCTCTAATACCACAATCCACATGGCACACCTACCATTCCAGCCTATACAGTTTCCCTTCCTGACCCATGTGTCGTCTCTTAAACTTTTTGGGAAAGTACAATTTCCCTAATATTATTTTTTCCCATCATATAATAATTTCATTAATTCACAACTTTTATGTATACTTGGTCTTATTATTACTTTTTTATGTGTATCTTTTTAGGGTATATCATTCCTAAAGGATGGAGAATATACGTATATACAAGGGAGTTGAATTACGATCCAAGACTTTATCCTGATCCATATTCGTTCAATCCATGGAGATGGATGGTTAGTATCGTTGAAAATCGCGCGTATCCTATATTATCTATGCTGAATTTGATTTTTAAATCGGAGTTAACAAATAATTATGGTTCTTATTATAGGATAAGAGCCTGGAACACCAAAACTCATTTTTGGTATTTGGAGGTGGTACTAGACAATGTCCTGGAAAGGAACTTGGTGTAGCAGAAATTTCCACATTTCTTCATTACTTCGTAACAAAATACAGGTATTTAATATATAAACATATATAATAAAAAAATTATTAATTTTATCTCGTATTTGATGATCTGTTACTAAATTGAAGTTGTATTATGGTTTATGCAGATGGGAAGAAATAGGTGGAGATAAACTGATGAAATTCCCAAGAGTTGAAGCACCAAATGGTCTACGGATTAGAGTTTCAGCTCACTAACTATCAATTCATGAATGTACAGAGAAAAAAAAATTCAAAAAAAAAAGAGAAGAGATTTGTAGGATGCAAAGCTAAGAGTAACATGGGATGTACAACTTAATTATTATTCCCGCTAACATAATCACGAATTAAACACAATTTTTTGCAGAGTTAATAATCTTATACAGTGTTAATTACTTTTACGCCTTTGTTATAAAGCAAAAAAAACATACAAATAAATGGATAAACCCGAAATCATTGAAGTACTGGCGCAAAAAAAAATGAAAATTAATTAGTACAAGCCCAATTAACCTTTCTTTTTGTTGACCGGCCCACACATTATTCAAAGCCCATTAACCTTTCAATATGATAACCGGCCCATACATATTCAAAGCCCATTAACCTTTCGAATGAAGACCGGCCCACATATATTTAAGCCCATTAACTTTACTTTATTTGACCGGTCCATACATATTTAAGGCCCATTAACACAGGAGTTCTCAGTGTATAGTAACTCAACCAGCAGTCTGGTATGGTCCAAAGGTTAAATAAAGGGCTTCAAAATTTTGAGGCTCCAAAACAGTTTTAGTAGTGAATTTTATAATTTATTTTTTTATTTAAAGTACTATAGAAGGTTGTTTCAAGTACAAAATTTATATATAATTAAATAAAATAAATTATCTCTTTTTATATTAAATTCTTTTGAACTTTGAATATATCAAATTTTATATTAATAAATAATATTTTTACTGTAGGATCCAAGATAACGTATGACAAACAAATGGTTTACAATTTTATTATTAGAATTAGTTTTATTTTCATGAATAATAATGTTATGAAGTTAAATGCTATATATGTTTTAGGAATACTACTATTGTATCTAGTCTCATAAGAATAAAATAAGCAACCCTACCTTGTTATTTTTTTGGTATATATGTATAAATTAATGTATTTTATTAAAATTAGTTATAAGTTACAAATTTTAATCAAAACTTTTAAATATTAAAAATAAACTGATAATAAATATATTTATATTTCATTACTTACCAAAATTAGAAAATTGTTTTAACAATTATTTGTTTTATATTAAAATTATTAATTTAAGCCTACAAAATAAGACCTACAAACCCAATAATTGTTACTTATACCTATAATATATTGGATCTCCTTTATATAATTGATCAATAATTAATATGTATTCATTATTAATTTATATATTTATTAAAAATAAGTTCATCTTTTTTTTAATAATTAATGTCTGAAAAATAGGATATATAGCTTTTTTGAGTATTAGATTCTCCTTCACTACTAAAGAATAATGGACATCAAAGTTACAATATTCTGAACTTCTTGTAAAGTAATTTGTAATTGTTGATGACTATAAAAAAATTACATGTCACACATCTGAAAACAATTAACTCTTGATATTTTTAAACTTTTTAAGCTGATTCGTCAGGAAGGAGCACTTGTATTTTCTTCATTGATAATTGCATGCGACTTCTTATGCTTCATAAATATGTTAAAATAATTTCGTGAATTATAAAAAAAGGATAAATATATTAAAATAAGTTTCATGAATCGAAAAAGGAAAAGAAATTATCCAATTGTTAGAGAAATTTATGGAATTATTATTATCATTATTTGCAAATTTTTTAATTAAGTCAATTTTCCATGATTCAAGACTCGAGCTAACCACAAGTATAGTTTATTTTTAACTTAATATTTATTTATTATTGCGCTTTCGGATCGACTAGTTTTCTCCTAATTTTTATTAGGAAAATTTTTTAAAATGTCAATATTTTAATATTTAAGAGGGTTCATTAGCAACATTTTCAATATTTAGTAAAAATGTCAAATTTTAGTTTGTTATGTATCTTATTTATGTTCTTATTATTTCTAAATCAAGGGAGAGAATATTTTTAAAAAATGTAAGGATCCTTAATTTCCTCATCACTTACATTTTCAAATAAAATTTAAATTTTGTTCTTTTTTTTTTGCAAAATTTTTATCTTTTTAAAATTATACTCATTCCACAATATATTTTATTTGTACTTATTATAGTTTTTTTATTAGTTTGTATTCATTCCAATATGTATTTCGAATGTATCTATATAGTCATTTAAGAAATATATATGTATTCATATTTTTTTCCCTATATAGTTATTTTTTTCTTCAAAAATCTTGTATGTATTAATTTCAATATGTATTTTATTTGTATTTTTATTTATTCTAGTTTTTATTTAGATTTTTGTATAATAATATATAAAATACAAAAATATTAGTATGATGAAAAAGTGAATGAAATATAAAATTGAAAAGAAATAATTGAATATTAAGTGTACTCATTCTTAAATAAAATAAATAACTAGTTGACATACCTTTAGAATAAATACAAATTAGAAAAAGATGTCAAATTCAGAAACAATGCAACATAATTTTTGAATGAATACAACTATTAATTGTAAAAATACATACCTGACTAAAACAATATCAAAATTTAATATATACTTCCAAATTTATGAATACAAAAAATAATAAAACTATGAAAATGCAAAAATAAATACTAACTGTGGTACATTGACATAACTATAAAAAAAACAGAATACAAAATGAATTAAATATATGAAATACAATTCCAAATCTATGGATACAAAATACAATAAAACAATGAAATACAAAAATACATACTGACTAAAACAACAACAAAATTCTTTATACACTTCCAAATTTATGAATACAAAAAACATTAAAACTATGAAATATACACAATCAAACTCATATAATATGTTACATTGACATAACAAACACACAACAAAAAAATAAACAGAAAACGAAATACAATAAATATATGAAATACAAAAATAAATACTAACTATAATATAATGAAAATTCCATATACACTTCCAAACGCATTGTAACATGGACTTTTTTGAATCTTAAAAATAACTAAACAAATTAAACTAAACATGCAATACACAGAACATGCAAAAAAAAAAACTCTCTAACAAATTGGTCTTCTTCAACTTCATGGTTATGAATTTGTGTGGGATTATCGATGGATTCAGGCATTTTTTCCCGTCATATATACTCCTTAGATTTAGAAGTGGAACCTACATTGTTGTTTAATTCTTGAGTGAAAAACAAATTAAATGATGAGAAATCGGAAGAACTTTGATTATTTTGTTCAATACCTCTAGTAACTCTTTTGAAAACGTCCATTGAAGAGAGAATTATTTAGTCTCAAACCCTAAAAATGTTTTAAGAACAACTATAAAACAAAAAAATTAAAAAAAAACACTAAAATCAGTAAGTAAATAAATAAGGAATCTGAAAAACATAATACCCAAATCAATGTTAATCTTCAAATTAAATCTTGCAACGAAATTAAATGAGAATAATAGAAAATATTAATATATTGAATCGAAAATATGTGGAATTGATTTGGAAGAATGTTAGAGAGAGAAATTTAAAAGAAGCATAACAAAAGAGAGAAAAATCTGAGGATTTTATTAGGAAGAAAATAAAAGAGAGAAATTGATAAGTTTAAGAGAGAGAAAAATTAAAATGACATTAATATCTATCCAATTACGTTGGAAAATGTGTAATCTAATCTATGAGAGAGAAAAAAGGGTGTAAATAATGAGATAGAAAAATATTAATAATATCAAAATAATTATTTATTTTAAAATAATGACATTTTTGACATGATTACTAATATTATTAAAGTATAAAAATTTATCATTAAATAAATTAGTTTTTTTGACTAATTAGTTAAATTTTCCTTTTTATTATTAACGATGTTTTATTTTTGAAGTTAATTCAACCGCAATTAAAGGCCTAATTTCAAAAACTTTACGTATGTCGTACACCTACAAGCTTTAAACTTTTACTAAATTATTACTTCCTCTGTTCACTTTATGTGTTCATAATAAATTTTGCACATATTTCAAGAAATTACAAATTAAGTACTATATTTTTTAATCATAATATCCATATTAATTAGGTATATTTTGTGGACTTAGAATGAATTATCGATGCTAAAGTACTATATTTTTTAATCATGATATCCATATTAATTAGGTATAGTTTTAGGGGACTTAGAAATGAATAATCGATGCTAAAGATTAAAAAAAGAAAATATTTTCTTTTGATATACTAAAACAAAATAAAACTTTATTTTTGATAGATAAAGTAAAAATAAACTATCATAATAAATTATTAGAATTCTTCATTGTAACGGTTGGCTTAATATTTCACACTTTATATTTCTTTCATAATAAAATAGATTCATATATATGGTTATTGTTATTGACTTTGTCAAAAGTATGCAATATCTGTCTTGTACTTGCCGTTATTGACAACATGGCTCAGATTTCATATTTTAAATAAAATTATTTGTCAAAAAACTTTACTTCATAAAAAAAAAAACTATGTATTGATAAAATATAAAACTTAAACTATAAGCGATTTATATGCATAGAGTCATGTTGCTAATAACGGCTAATATAGGAAGGGGCATTGCCTGCTTTTGACAAAGTCAGTAACAATAATATTTTACCACACCCTACACGTGTCATCAACCTATACTCTGACTTTCAATGTATAAAAGCTCTTCCCATTTCTCACTAAACAAAAAAAATATATTCTTCCCATTGCTATAGTATTAGCAAAATTTAAAAAGAAAAAAAAAAAATCTCTCGAAATGGCTACTGTTCCTTTGAAAGATGAGCTAGACATTGTGATACCAACGATTAGAAACTTAGATTTTCTTGAGATGTGGAGGCCATTTTTCGAACAATATCATTTAATTATTGTGCAAGATGGTGATCCTTCAAAGACTATTAAAGTTCCTGATGGCTTTGATTATGAGCTCTACAATCGTAATGATATTAACAAAATTTTGGGTCCGAGGGCTTCTTGTATTTCGTTCAAAGACTCGGCTTGTCGTTGCTTTGGTTACATGGTGTCCAAGAAGAAGTATATTTACACTATTGATGATGATTGCTTCGTAAGACATCGATCTCCTTATATCATATGGTGTTTGTAGGCTTTTTTTTTTATAGTTTGACATTGTTTGGTTTTTGTGAAAATTGAATTGATAGGTTGCAAAGGACCCAAGTGGGAAAGATATTAATGCATTGGAACAACACATAAAGAATCTTCTTTGTCCATCAACTCCCTATTTTTTCAACACACTTTATGATCCATTTAGAGATGGTGCTGATTTTGTGCGTGGATACCCTTTTAGTCTACGTGAGGGTGTTTCAACTGCAGTCTCTCATGGATTATGGCTCAACATTCCTGATTATGATGCACCTACTCAACTTGTCAAGCCTCTTGAGAGGAATACTAGGTCTCCTCTTTATTAATTTTACTTATATCAGTTACTTTTAGAAATAAAAATTATATATAAAGTTTAAATTCTGAATAGGTACGTTGATACGGTGTTGACGATCCCAAAGGGTACACTCTTCCCAATGTGTGGTATGAACCTGGCATTTGACCGTGATCTTATTGGTCCTGCAATGTACTTTGGTCTCATGGGAGATGGTCAACCTATTGGACGTTACGACGATATGTGGGCTGGTTGGTGCTGCAAGGTTCGCTACTTTTATTATGTGATTGAAATACGCGGATATTTTTACATAGAACTTAAACTCTGAGTGAATTGTCAGGTTATATGTGATCACTTGGGATTGGGTATCAAGACTGGATTACCCTACATCTACCACAGCAAGGCTAGTAATCCTTTTGTGAACCTGAAGAAAGAGTACAATGGAATATTCTGGCAAGAAGAAATAATTCCATTTTTTCAGCAAATGAACCTGTCTAAAGAGTCAACTACTGTCCAGAAATGCTATGTTGAAATGGCCAAGCAGGTTAATGAAAAACTTGGGAAAATTGATCCTTATTTTGTGAAGCTTTCTGATGCTATGATCACTTGGATTGAAGCTTGGGATGAGCTCAATCCTCCTGCTAAAGAAACTACCAATGCTGCTTCCAAATAAATTATTTCATAGTTTTTTTATTATTTTGTAACTTTTTAGATTACTTGCAGTATCTTATTGCTTGGGATTTATATAATTTTGTCGTTGTGTACACACCACCCCTCACACTAAAGGAGCTAGTCATGTCCGAAGTTGTTACCTTAACCACAAGTAGGGGATGCCGAAGGCTGGTCTAGTGAACTTGGGAGTTGTAGGTGAAGTCTATATTTGGAGTATTTGTGGGCGTAAAACTCATCCTTTAATTTCTTGTAAACTGTAATAAACCATAAGGTCTTCACTTTTATGCGAAGATCAGATGAAAATTTTAATTTTCTTCTCTTTCCTACAAAACGTGTGGTTTCTACCCTCTATCTTTTGAAATATACAAATGATTAAGCAACAATTAATAATAAAAAGGACCCTTTGCATGTTTCGAATTTACTAATCCCAAATATACTAATTAAGAATTCTCATGAATAAATTTGAAGAACTGACCAGTCACTACTCACTACCATAAAACGTTAGACAAAACAGAGAGCAACTTTCTCTGAATTTAACTCAGAGCAGTATCATCTTTTTATCAATATTATGGAATTACTTTAATCGTCAAGCATCAGAAGAAATATTAACTAATGTTCGTCGACATAAAAGATCAAATAGACAACGCAAGCCATGTTACAGAGTAGTTTTCTGATAAATGAAAATGAAAAACAAAATTTAATACAGCACTGGAATTAAGATTGAAATGAAGGAAAAAAGGGACAAACAAAATAAATATAAATAGCCTAAAATACCTTTAAAAATTAAAAAGTATACTTGAGATAAACAAGATGAAATCCTCCCCATTATCGATAGACGTTTTCACAGTTATCAGAAAGAAGATGGATCTCACTCTGCAAGAAAATGCAGCAGAAGAGATGGATTATGATGGGATAAAAACTGCAGACACTTGGCCAAGATATATAAGTTATGAATCAGATTCTTCGGTCTTCTTACGCTTGGCTGCAGGCTCCTCGACATCCTCATGGTTGCTACCATTACCATTCTCATGGTTGCTACCATCGCCATTCTCATGGTTGCTGACATCGCCGTTCTCATTGTTGCTACCCTCGCCATCCCCATGGTTGCTAATTGCATTCAATGCTTTAGGACCCAAAAGAGACACATGCTTACTGGTGATCTGCCGGCCTGCCCTTAGTTTTGGACCCCAATTCCTCTCAGGATTAGGGAGGAAACGCGCAACCTTCTTGGCTTGTGCCTGGCTAAGGGATGCAACAGCCCGAGCAAAATTAGCCTGTAATATTCCAGATATGAGAATTAAAAGACTGTATTCTTGATTGAAAACACATGTCATCAACTTGTATGTGTACAAAAGCTAGTTTTTTCATGACGGACGTGTGTGTTGCTTCAAAATCACAGACCTCAGTGAAACGAGGAGTCTAGGCAAATTTAGTTTTTTCAAAAGTTATTGTGACTAGTGCAAAAGATGGATTTGCAGAACCAGAACCAAGTCTCCAGTTACATATGGTGATATCATATACATAAAATGATTCCCAGATATTGGAAGTCAAGGAGACGGGTGCATGAATTATTAAGAACATGGACCAGAATCTCACATTCATATTTTGTCCTTTATTAAAAAAGGAATATTGTCCTTTTTTTTTACACCTTTATATGTATAAATTCAATATAGTTTGGACCAAGAAGTATCCTTTATGCCATATGACAATGATGCGGTAAAATAATATCACTTCCAGAGGGTTAAAGTTCACCTGCAGAACAGGCTCCTTAGCAAGAATCACACTTCCAGACTGGTCAGATGGTTGTGCTTTCACAGGATGATTTCTGACCTGCAAATAGAACATTATCAGCTCAGATGGTAGAAGAAGGATGTCTTATTTTCAAAATATGAAACAAGCAAAGGCGTAAGCTAATACAAAGAATATCAAGCAAGAACTGCCAAAAACAAGCAAATGATTAAAACTTACCCAGCAACGCATGATATCCCAAATGACATTCATAGGAGCATCTGTTTTCAACCCCAAAGGATTCACATGAGTCCCTGATATGCGATATCCTGCGTTGATCACAGCAGAGCGAAATATTACTGCCGAGGGAGAAGTGCATTTTAGTGTTGCACAGAGATTGTGCAAACTCAGAAACAGAGGAATATCAGGTAGTTCCTGCAAAAGCACACTCTTGGATCAGAATTTAGAAAACATCCACCAAAAATAACCGATAAAACTGTTCCTCGTCAATATGATCTGCACTGAATAAATAACTGATTGAACTATTTCTCATCAATAGGATCTGCAGTGAATAACAAATGTCTCCAAATAACGAGTGAAGGACAAAAGTTTCTTTGCCCCCCAAAAAAATTGCGCTGCTGTGCCAGCAGTAAAAGTCATGCCATTACTTGTCAAATTCATCAATGTAGAACTGTGAGTGGATTGAAGGACTGGCATTCCTAACTGAATTTATATTTTCCTTCAACAAATTCGAAGCCCCATTACAAGATCAACCTTCACATTTGTGGTCATTAGAGCAGGTTAAGTCCTATTGACAAATTTACGATGTCTAATTGCGTTAAATACCTTCTTCACTATTATGCAATATTTCTTCAACAATTGGAACACAACTGTCATACCAAAACGAAAAGAAAAGACGTTACAATACTAGGGATTTGAACGCCAACTCAATCTCCTGATTCTGTGCAGAATTACATTCAACAGGAAAGGACAATTGAATAACATGTGATCAGAAGATTGTTTGCTCCTTATCCCCGAAAGAACATCAAGAAAAGGTTTATGTGCCTCTCATAGGAAAAGAGTTTAGTACTAAATCAGCAACAAGTGAAAAAGGATGTAATTGTTACTTTAATGATTTCAAGTAGTTTTCATTTCTTTAAAGTATGTAACATATTCTGGATATATTTAAAAGGAATAAAGAACGAAACAGCCTTATGGACAGAGGCATACTATAAATATTAAGACAAACCACACCTCTGATATAGTTGTCAATACAGCAGAGATCCGCTCATAAGCAGGATAGCGTTCCTTCATTGATTTCACATTTGCAAGCATGGCAGCTACCCATTCTTGATCATGAATGGGGGCAGACCATATGGGTCCACCCATGTTGAATTTCTTACCACAATCACTACACTCTTGAGGAACTGCAGGGCCAAATCCAGGGAGGCATCGGACACTCTTATCCTAGATAAGCAGAAAAATAAAACATATAACTGGCCATATTTGAAAATATGTATTAAAACAGTCTCTACCAAGGATTAAAAGGTACAACTAACTAACTCATGATCTAAGGCAAAGAGGAGGGACTTCCCCATTGAACATAAAAGAATCCAAAAGGGATTCCTCCAAATTCCTAGCAGGTCATCATTCTGGTAACAGCATGAAAGAAAGAACAATTGAAGAAACAAGCTTGCTAATAGGATTTAGATCGTGTTACACTTGCAGTAACAGAACACTGGGAGACTTCTAAAGTTGATTAAATGTTCTATTTTCTTGATGTTATCTTCTTCTTTAAGCAAGGAAAATTGATGTTATGATCTTCAATAAGCGAGATAACAAAATAAATTCTGTGAATTCAGATAACAAAATGCAGCATCTAAGCTTTATCTTAAACAAGGGGCACTCCATCCTCCAGAGCAGATATCATTAGAACCAACAGTCCACCTGAGGTCCAAGCATTTCTTTGGCAGGATATGACAAGAGTTGAAGGAAGAATTTCCACACAATAAGTGCTGGATTATAAAACTTGTGAGACTATGGGCTGATAAAGAACATTAGTAGGTACCATGAATCTGCATCTTTAGGCACTGATTTTTTCATCTACCAAGATTTCCAGATTAGAGTATAAGCTGGTCAATCCAGCACAAGAAGTTTGTATGAGCAAGACATTCAAAGATTGTGAATGTAGAAATACCTTTGAGACTGTCCTCCCAACTGTCTGAAGATGAAATGAGTCGCAGCCAATGCATTGATAGACATATGAGAGCTTCAAAGGAGTATTTTTCACATCACTTGCAGAACTGCAAGCAATTATCAGAAAACTCGCATCTATAGAGAGGAAGTTGATAACCTATGAAAAATTGACTAAATTGTAGAAAAGATGAACACTTACGTGTATATACGAACAAAAACGCGAACATAGAAATCCATCTGAACAGATAATACTGGAACTATATATCTCTTATATCGATTTGCATGGCTCTGAAATAAAATAATAAAATAAAAAAATTAAGAACTAAGAAAAATTAAAGAAGCGCCCATTATTTAGGATATGGGACCAACCGATCAACAAAACGAAGTTAACGAACTTCTAATTTCTATATTAAAATTACAAGTGACGGATTTTTTCTAGTTTGTTGATAAAACTTCAAAATGCTAACGGCAGCTGCTAATTTTAGGATAATGCAAAAAAGTATGTAAAGAAAGAAATTGCATGAATGTAGCCAGAAGCCCATAAATCATTAATCGCTGCTTAAAATAACTATAGACAAAAAGTTCACAAATGAAGTACCTCAATAGATGCAAGAAGGATCCGCAAAGCCATTTCATGACAATATTTTCCTCTCAAAGGATAGGAGCCATATCTAGTAGCAGATGAGATCACGTAAGCAGGATATAATGACTAATAAAGTTATTTAACGCCATAAGCGAAGGGATTATTTGGTTACTTGGAATAGCAAACTTCTCCATTTGCTGCACATAAGACTGCCATATCAGTTGCAGTACACATCAACATTCCTCCATCAGCAACAGATTGGACTGCTGAGTCTAAGAACACAGAAGGTGCTCCATAAGGATCGAGATCAACCTGAAACAACACTAACCCAAAATGTATGAATAAAAGCTCAGCTTGAAATAGATATTCAAAAAATTATTTTACACGCAAGTAACCCAGGATAAGAAATTTAATGTGCAAACTAAATATCCTGAACATGGTTGACTTACTAAACCAGCACCAAAGAACAACTTTCATTCATTAAAAGTTCAGAAGAATATAAATATGATAATTTATTGTATATTCATACCACATCAAATTCGTTTGGGTGGGTAAGCATATAAACCCTTGCATCAGCAAGGTGAGATTCCACCTTAGAGCATGCCACTGAACCATTAAACTTAATGTTTCTCCTGCAAGCTTCCACAGAGGCTGCAACATAAGGAATACCTACTCAAATACTGGATTGGACATTAGAAGTAATATCTGTATCACGTTATTATATAGATATTTTGAAACAAGACAAGTAAATTTTTTGGTTAAAGCTTATATAAAATTCTCTGAATTATGCCACCGTTTTTCTCATATTTATCACGACAATAAGGAATTCACTTCTATCCTCGCATTAATTTACAGTTTTAATACCTAAACATTAAAGCCAGTACCTGAATGATTTATATAAAACACACTCTTAGATTAGATGTTTCAAATCCATTCCATCAGACATTCTTACTTTTGTGACTGCTCAGTGATCTCTTGACCAGAGAGATGCATTTCATTTTCTTTTACCATGGTTGGCAGTGAAGGTTAGTGTCGTAACAGCTAGACATTTTATGCAGCACCCCCTAAACTGAGATAGAATTACCTTTGTCATTGTCAAGGGCCACGACCTGGCTAATTCCTTCTACTTCACGAGCATACCTTAAAGCCCTCAATCCAGAAGCTGAGAGAGCCTATTAAGTCACATTGAAAGAAAAAATGTTGGTCAACCACAGCAACAACCTCATTTTTGATAAGCGTTTAATAATCAACAAAACAGGCCAATATACCTCGAGAACTCGTGGAGGCTTTAGTTCTTCTCGGCCTTTTCCCCGCAGATTTTTATTCTGTTCCACTGGAATGCTAGATGATTCACCATGGGATGCGTCTTTCAAGACTTCCGATCCATCAGTGGATTCACCATTATGCTGCACTGAATCACCTGGGTTTTCCACTTTAGCATTAGGTGCCTTATTTCCAGCCTTGGTTCGTCTAGCTAACATTGCGTCATGTTCTAGCTTTCGTTGTGATATAAATGTCCTCAAAACAGCTATAGACATGTCTCTATTATTCACCTGTTGCAGGTAGTTTTTGATGAGCTAAAATAAGGTGGCTACCACTGCCCTTAAATGTTACCACATAGAATAGAGAATAAAGGGATGTAACTTTGAATGCTATTAATAAACCACAAAGTACCATACAAGCAAGAATTGTTCAGGGTGGCATGCCAAGACCATCGAGGACTAGATATTTGCGTACAAGTTGCCAATAGTCATCTTAAAAGGGCTAAATTACCCTGTCCTAAATATTTACTAGGTGGAAATTCCTGCATGAGTAAGTTACCATGAATTGAGCTGTCAGTCTGTCACAAAGTCAAAAACAAAGGAAATGTCTACTACTCCGTTTATCCTAAAAAGAAGGTACTAGTTACATTCTGAGCCCATGTTACATGGAGATGTAGACATGTGGCAAGAATGACATTTGCAAGATCCTTTTTAGTCCTCCAGAAAATTACTAAAACAGAATGTACCTATGTTGGACACTTAATCACACCACGGTAGATAAAACCTGATTTCACCAATAAATGAGTAAATGTAATATAGTTCCCAACTACCTCTTTTTCACCGAGAAGAAAGTTAACCGAAAAAAATAATAAGAAAAAAGAGGTTGACTTTAAGCAATTACATCTGTCAGAATCAGATGCGACATAGAGTTGAGCAAAGGATCAAATGGTTTGGTAATTCTTCATGAAGAGATGAATTATGAACATTTTGAATCAAACTCGGTATTTTTATTCGTCCTTTGTCGTAATATTTTCTCAAGGTTTGTAGTAATAATTAGTGTATCATTAACTAAAATATGTTGACAGTTGAAGCCACACAGAGCCGAAGAAGGATACATTTTGATAAAGAAATGACATTTTGAAAAAGGATGTTATCCAAAAGCCATTCAAGTAATTGTAGTTAAACTTGACTTGTTGACCTCTTGGCTTACGAACATACTAAGTAATTTTCGTCTGTAAAACCATAATGAAAACGACTTTTTTTGTTTATGCATTCACCTTGGCAGTGGAGTCTGGGGTTCCCGTGAGAGATAGTCAAGCAGCTAAGAAGCTCCACTCTAGACGAATACGATACAGAGACATTCCCCAAATGTGATTGGTATCCAATATCACTTCTGATCTTGGGCTCATTTATTTGTTCGTCCTGGTAAATACCCCTACGAACAGTGTTTTTTTTTTTTCAATTTCATTATCTACACAATTGTTTGTAAATAGATATGTTGGATTAATCTTATAATAAACATAGTTACATCCAACTTTTTAATTTTTTCCCTCATCTAAGGATTTTTCGCCAAAGATTGCACTTCAATAGTGCTTTCTGTTAAAGTCCGAGTAGAGCTTGACCTTACTGTTTTTCTACACTCTTCACTTTTGGCAATGTTGTTCTGTCTATCTCTCACACACGTTACAAGAACTATAATTCAAGAAGCACCTACATTCAAAACATTGCAAATTCTAGAAATTGTAGAACTTACAAAAACTTTGACCGAAAACGACATATAATAGGTTGGTTCACAATAAGAGAACACTCGAGCAGAATTAATCCTTATCCCTCTTCCTTGTGTGCATGTGGTATCTAAGTTTGTCCCAAAGTATCTAGCCAAGATCACACACCCTGTCTCTATTCCTTAAAATCATCTAGTTAAACTCACCCATTATTCAATAGCTAACAAGACTACCTTGGTAGATGCAATATTAGCACAACAGAGCTATAGCAGATCAGTCAATTGGCAGACTAAATAGACAGATGGAAAAATTCTACGCATTAGCCATTCCACCAGCATAGCTACATTAGAAGTACCCTGAATGAATTTTTTCCTTAATTTCTATATACTAATTTGTAATTGAACACATGTCTTGTCGCAATAAAAACTCTTTTGATAACTTGTCCAGTTAATTCTTACAGTAAGGCTTAGGCAAATAGGTAACTAGATAAGCACTTTCATATGAAGCATAAGAATCTGAAAAAAAAAGAAAAAAGAAGGACCTGGGAATTGTTGTAGAAAACTTCATTTTTGGCATGCATAAGAATCTCAGCATCTCCTTCTTTGATGATGGTGAAGTCATTGAGATCAAAAGAAGTTCCATTCTGCTTGTTTCCGTTGTCACCCGCCATTGACGGTTTGTGTGATAATGGAGAAACTAACGCCTAATTGCGGCAATTATGAAGCTCAAATAAAAAGAAATTTTGGGGAATGAAAGTGGAGACAATAAATATAGGAATGCACCACAAAAAACCCTAGTGCTTGCTCTTCGGCAGTTGCTGCGGTTTTCTAAATATTCTTTTTTATAAGGAAACACTATTGTAAGTAAAAAAAATTTAACCGGAGGGGAAATACATCAAATTCCTCCTGTAAAATTTATTTTAATACCATTAATTATATTAGGGTTTAAATATTTTAAAATAACTTTTTTTGATGATTGATGTGGTGAATAAGTAAAAAAATTAAAAATCAAAGAGAAAAAAATAATTAGGCTACTTTTATTTTTCTTTTTTATAATTTTTATGAATTAAGAAAACAAAAAAAAAAGAATAAAAGATTCAAAATTTAAATAATTATAAATGTGACAGTAATATCGTGTTGACGTGTCAATAACATGGAGCATGTGGGTGGATGTAAATTTACTTGAAACGGAATTAGGACGGTAAAAAAATATAATTAAAATTAAAGTACTAAAATAAGCTTTGCTGCTAAATTCAGTGAGAATGTTATATGCTTTCTCGTTTTTTTATATTAAAATTACATTGTTTTTATAATTTAAAAGAATTTTTTTAAGCAAAGTATAAATAGACAATTTTTTATTAAAAAAAAAAGATACTAAAAAATAAATTATTATAATTGATAAAATTTAAATAAATTTAATGTTTAACGGCTATCAGAGCTATTACCATCACTACTCCTTTCATTCCTTTTTAGTTGTACTTGGAATTTTATTAAGAAAAAAAATACTTGTAAACATATGCATTTTGACTAACATATTTCATGTTAATTATTTATTTTTATGTAGCTTAATTTTAGAATAACTAGTATTAAAGTCAAAATTAGAAAAATAATTATTTTTTTCTTAATTGTTTAAATTGATAGTTAATTTGCATCGAGTGTTTACATCATAATAATGTAATTTTCATTATACTAGATTTAATTGAAGTAATACACGTGTTAACTAATTATGGTTAAGTAAAATGAACTATAAATTTAAACACGACATGCACACATTGATTTTATATAAACATCCGATGAGAAAAAATTTTACCTCTATTAATTAGTGTTTAGTACTAGATCTCAGAAAATTATTTGAAAAGCAATTAATGTAAAATATAAAATATGAAAAAGTTGCCTTTTCTTATATATAAAAAATAACAAATAGTGAAAACTTTGTTTTTGAAATTATTGACAAATAAAAGTAAACAAAGTGAATATTTGAGTTTCAAAAAACTAGAAAATATCGTTACCAATCAAAAAGTTATATAATTAATATTTTAGAACCTTTTACTAATTTTGTTTATTCACCGTAAATTGACTTTTTAGATTAATAAATTTCATCTCATAATGTGTCGATATTAAAATATGCATTCGTTTTATTTAAGTTTTTAAATTATTTATTTCAAGTTTTAAAGTTTTTATTAAAAGAACTTTATAAAATATTTTATGATATTAAATTAAAATTATGCAATTGTTTATATTTATAAATAGTTTTTGACAATACGTCTAAAATGACATAATGCAAACACGTGGATAACATTTTGTTAGCTTGAATCCTTCTCTTTTAGTTTGCAATTTCGATCAAAGTCATATTTATAATTTTCATTTTTTATTTTTAAAAAAGTATTCATTTAAATAACTAATTGTTTTAAATTAGGCACAATTAAATTGTTATTTACTAATTTGTCCATAAAATATGTTAAGTTTATGTCAAAAAGAAAACTGGTAATAATTAATTAAATAAAAATGACAAGAGCTAATTTGAATTCCATCCGTTAGTCAACGAAGAGGAAAAAAAAATTATATTTCAAAAAGTTGAATGAAATTGGTTCTGTTAGTTGTATTGTTTACTTATTTTGTTTTGGTTCATTATTGATATCGATATTTTTAATTTTTTCGGTTTTAATGATTAAATGAGTATTGATAAATTAAATTAAAAAAATTTACTTTTTTTAACTAATGGGATGTATTATGAGAAAAAATTGTAATAATTCTTAAAATTGAGGGCGTTAGAGCAGTTACCGAATTAGTTTTTTTAATATATTTTTTTATGAAATACTTCTTTTTATTTTTTAAATATACTTTTTTCATAGAAAATTTCTTTTCACTTCTTTACTTATAATTTTTTTTCAATTATCCTTTATCAGATTAAGATTTGTAAAAAAATAAAAAAAAAACTAGGAGTTAAGTGTTGTAACAAAACAAAATAGAGTGGAATCAATTTATTTTTTTTACCATTTTGTAATTCCGGTTGTTATTTTTACAATTTGAAGTGCATAAATAAAATTGGACCATTTTCTTCTAAATTAACCCACTCAGAATTTTTATATTTTTGTATCGATTTAAAACATTTTTCAATTTTCTTGATTTTAAAAGATTAAAGCAAATAGTCAAAAATGTATCTCTATTTTTTTGCTATTAATTAAATTAGTTGTAGCCATGAGATATGACCAAATAGCTATTACTGAAATATTCAAAATTACTCCTTGCTAAATTGAATGAAATCTTCACATTAAACCAAAACGCACCCACTTATGTATATTACTTATTATACTCGTTTAACACAACCCATACCCAGGCTCACTATATAAATTAACCCAGGCTCACCAAATAGTTTGTAGACCCGTGCTGTTTTATCGTCATTCCTTTTAAACTGTACTAGTAAAAAACAATTTAAATAATTATGTAAATTTATACCATAATCTTTAAAATAATTTTGTAATATATATCTAACATAATTGATTTTTGATTTATTTGACTAGTTATTTTTTATATACGTTTTCCATTCAGTTAGATTTATTTTTATGTATCAAAAATTATTTACATAAAAATGACTATATTATTTATTTCTATAAGATAAATTAACTTTACTAGGAGTTTACTTTATCAAATCAAGATTATAATTATTTTTCAAAATTATTAATTTTGATTATTACCTTTTGATACATTTTTTAAGGACAAAAATAGTTTTTAATGAAAATAATAAATTTGTGTTAATTTATTAAAGTAGATAAATGAAATAATAAGATAAAATTATTAAATTACAAAGATATCCATTAAATAATAATTACTATCTCGTATATACAACACCTGGGGCCTTGTATCGGTCGGTTCGATTCGGTTTTAATGTCTTTCGGGTTGGCTTATTGGTTATCGGTTTGTAGAGATGTTATACCGTTATAGAACCATTAAGATATTGAGTTATCGATTTTTGATCGTTATCGGTTCGGTTATCAGTTTAACCATTGAGATTTGACACAAAAGAAAAAAATATTAAAAATCACTTAGAAACAAGGTGACAAACCAAATAAACCATGCACTCGAGCTCACAAGTTATATTTTGCTAAAAAACAAACACTTTTACATCGTAGAATAATCAAGTGTTTGAGACAATAAAAAATAAAACTAGGAAATTAAACTCTAAGTCGAGGACTTTATATACCAAATGGTATAAATATAATTATTTAATTTACTATTGGATTATCGGTTAACCCGTTAAAAAAAAAACTTTAAACCCTTAAGAACCGATAACCCAATAACAAAAAAAAAAATTAAAACCATTATCAAAAACACTAAACTAATAACCCAACACTATAAACTAATAACTTTTTCATCAATTCAACTTATCAATTTTGATTCGATTTTGCACGGCCCTACCCTAGACACTATTGACTAATGATTTTGAGTCAATAGTGTATGATATGGAATTTGTGTTCGAGTATAGGACTTGGATCAACATCCGGTTAATTGCGACAATTTGCAAAGCCCATGCAAGGGTAAGATTTGCTATTTCTGGGCCTAGCGGAGTCTTCAATAGCTAAGAAATCAAAAATCCTAAAAGAGTAAATTGTACATATTGTTAATATTTTTTTTATATCATCAAGATATAAAAATTTATATCAACGTTAAAGAATTATTTTTATTTGGGGAATATCATAAGGTTTATTTGCCCTTTTTTTTGAAATTTGCGAAGCAGCGAAAGGAAATAATAAGTGTTCTAGTATTCTCTAGAGTCATCTTTTTAGTTGCCATGCACCGATAAAGGGGATATCTTTATTATCAACCATACACGTATAGTGAATTAAGTTATTAATACTTATTTATTAATTTGGACCACAAGAAAGTTGAGTCCAATGTAATATAAATTAAAAAAAGACTTTGGAAATTAAGATTTTACTTTAATTTGGAAAACAAATGTGTGTATACGTATATTGTTTACTCTTTTTCTTTATGCAAAAATGTGCGCTAAAAGTGAATAATAGAGAACAAGACTGAAAGTACTAACGATTAATTACAACTTAAAATAAACCTTATTTTACTGTTTAAGCTGTTAAACTATACAATATTGTGTAATACTTATCCACATTTGTGTGTAAAATTGTTTAAAATTATACTTTAGTTATAGGCTAAAAAATTATTTTCAATGTTTTTTTTTTTTAAAAAAAAAGTTTGACTTGATACAACATTTAAGTAAATAAAAAAGACTTCTCAATTTTATGATCTTAAATCAAATTATCTTAGATGTATCAAAATGTACTTTAATCTTGTGATTTTGAACATGTCAGATAAAAACTGAAATTAAAGCAAGGTGTTTGTCTTTTAGGTCGAGTTGTTTACCTCTCCTATGTGGTTTGCGAGCTATTACATAGAAGCAGAGATTTTTCCCTATGTACACCCCAAGGATAGCGATTGCGGGTTTCCCATGTCATTAAAAAATAAACTGAAATTAAAGGTTATCAGAATAAGAACTGAGTCACTACTTTTAAAATGACTAAAAAAATAAATCATAGATCCACATTTTTTGCCTATAGAATATAAAATGGGTAATATTAAAAATTAGTAGTTATATATTCGTCAATAAAAAAATATCATGTGTACAATATAATCATTCGATCTTTTTATTTTTTTTTATTTCATGCGTTTTTTAGGAAAGTGAGTACACTCACTTTGCCACGTCAGTTCTTAATAATCACTTTAAAATTATTAAGACGGTATTTAAACATTTATATAGTTAAAGTACAAAAGTAAATTTGAACACTTAATTCAAAAGTAGTTCGATGTATTTTCTCCTTTTAAAACAATATATATATATATATATCTATTAATTTAACGTAAATATCACATTTGTATAGCTATTGCAATCGAAGGGGAACTTGCGAAAAAGGAGAGGAGATGACCACCAACTTTCCATCTTTGATTAATTATATCACCATCAAGTCAAGCTTTTTCCCCTCTCAACAAAATCCAAACTAATATCTTCAACAATCTCTGGATCACAATCTTTTACAAAAGCATAGGTAATTAATTAATTAGTGGCATAATACACATCATTACCTATATATGGCATTACTTACTTAAACTAATGTGTTTAGCCAATTAAACAATTCCTTAAAATACTAGAAATGCTACTTGACATCGTAGGTTCACTACGTGTCCAACTTATGACTCATTAACCTGTCCTTTTTTACTTATTCTAATGCGCCATTATCCCCAAATTACAACCCCAGAAGCTTCGATCTTCTCTGCTTAAAATATTAATTAAGGCTGCTAGCTGCATTATTAGTACTTAATTAATTATGTTTAAAACTTACGGCCGAGGCTTACGCACATCAACATTTGTTACAAAAGCATTGGTTAATAAGCCATTTTCAAGGGAACATGCCAACAACCAAGCACTAACTTCAATTTTTTCACGGCTTAGTCCGAGGTCATTAGGCTTTCGAATTTAACTTTTATATATTGATAGTGTAAAATAAACGTTATTATGTTATTAGATTATTAATAAATAATACACATAAGCATATACTATAAATCATAATAATGGAAAAAAGAGCATGTTCTCTTTTGCTACAAAACTATCGATTACGACATATTTAAATGAGTTAAATTTTTTTATAATACTGTCGATATATATAAGTTAATCAGTGTATAATTGAAGCATGCATGCAGTTAAATTCTGTTACGGAATTGCTAATGCTAAATCCAAATATATACTTATCATATATCAAGGAATATTTGTCCTTAATTATCTTTGTTGGTACGGTTCTAATAAGATTTCCAAGGCACACTTGTTTCTCACTAGTAGGTTAATAATCATGTGAGGTGCACCATGGGATAACACATGGCAGATATCACGAGGTGTAACGAAAGATTTGGTAATAAAAATAATTATATGATACTATCTGACTTAACATAAAATTTAATTCAAATAAAAAAAATTTTAAAATTTATAATTTAAAATGAATTTTTAATACTAAGTAATTATCTGAGTAAAAATCATTTTATTAATATTATAATTAAATTATTGTTAATTATAGAGCGTGAAATCAGTATCGCTAGTGCTTTTAAAGTTAGTGAGGTCAGATTAATGCATTAAAAAAGACGGTAAATTGACAGGGTGATGAGAGTATATATATGGTAGAGTAGCCTGTGACTAATTCTGTCATACAAACAGGAGACAACATATTACTAATTAGTAAATCAAGAAGATTTAATTAGTGAAAGTTACTTAGCAATTTTATTACTTCATTAACCAAAAAAAATGGTTAGAGGAATGATGGGTTGGGGTGTTAATACTGATGAACAAGGATGGAGAAAAGGACCTTGGACTCCTGAAGAGGATAAGCTTCTCTCTGAGTATGTTAATTTGCATGGTGAGGGAAGATGGAGTTCTGTATCTCGTTGTGCAGGTATTAATTATAAATATTGAATTTTATTTCTTTATGTTTTGATACGACGTTTTTAAGTTGTTACAAAATATGAATGTTCGTTCGTTCGATCGTTCAGGATTGAACAGGACTGGGAAGAGTTGTAGACTAAGATGGGTGAATTACTTGAGGCCTGGACTTAAAAGAGGTCACATAACACCTCAAGAGGAAGGGATTATTATTGAATTACATGCTTTGTGGGGCAACAAGTAAGTAGATCAATTCTTTCTAGGATATTTAAATTTTCCTTTGGTTCGTTTGATGATTAATTCGTTGATGATATGGTAATGTATAGATGGTCAACAATAGCACGTTACTTGCCTGGAAGGACAGATAACGAGATAAAAAATTACTGGAGAACACATTTCAAGACAAAAGTAAAAGTTCCTGTAAAGCAAGATAAAAAGAGAATTCTGAGGCAGATGAGAAACCAAACACAGCAAAATTATACAAACGTATCCACAACGGACATGTCACCTCAAGCAGAAGAAGTGATCATGATCAAGAGCGATGACGATAACATGTTCAGTATTAATTATAATAACGATGAGGATCCGGTTGAGTTGCCACCAGTGACAACTATTTCAGACACATGGACGGAGAATTTTCCGATGGATGGGTTGTGGAACATAGATGATGAGTTGAAGGTGGCAATTCAAAATCAAGCAGCTACTGCTAATTGTTCTTACGGAACTGATTATGCAGTAAACTTATATAATGGAGGTTTTATTTTCTGAAAAATAAAAGCGTTCATAATGGAACTAAGTAATTAATTAGTCAGATGGTACGTGTATGTTCAAAATGCTTTTAATTTTGAAGAAAAAGATTTGGTACAGTACAAGTGATTGATTATGGTTCTGTATGATGATTTGTATTTAATTAACATGATTAGTGAATTTGATGAATATCCAAAATCAACTTCTTTTATAGCTATCGAGAGTATAATCTGAGTGTTTCATTTGATTTGATTCTAAGTTATGATAATCTTTGAACTGGAATAAATTGACTTCTATTAGCTAGCTAACTATAGGGTTAATGAATACCAATAATTTGAATGTGTCATTTTGTTACCTATCTCTTTTATTTCATTCATCATTTCTTTCTTTATATTTATTCATATTTCACACTATAGAACCAAAAAAAAGAAGAGCAAAACTCAGACAATGATACAAATATCACTACATAAAAAATTAAGTTTTAGCGGCAATTAATTAGCAATCACTGCTATATATATACTTGTAGCGGTAATTAACACTTTTTATATGTCCCTAAAAGCTTTAGCGACATTGGATCTAATGACACTTTAACTAATGCCGGTAAAAACTTTAGCACTCTTTTTTATGTGTCTATTCATTACTGCTAAAAGTTATTTTTATCATAGTATATGATGAACTACTAAAAATACAAATTAACCGTTAAATTGAAAAGTAAAAAAAAAAATCACACATGAGAATATTAAATATACTTCTATATAAATTTTATTGTAATAAAAAAATTAATAATCAACAATATAAATTTAAAATCAATTTTTTCACTTCCGTCCATAAAAAGGATATATCTTAATAATTTATGTAACAAAAAAAATAGGGCAACTTTCACATATAGCAAATAAAAAATTTATATTTGTATGCTATAACAAAGTTTGCATAATTGCGCTCCATAGCAAATATAGAAACTGTATAATTCGCTATACATATAGCGTTGAAGCAAATTATATAAAACAAAGTGTATAAAACAAGAAAGAGAAAGACAATTGAGCACAGAACTGTATAAAAATGAAGTATACAAAACAAATTGTATTATTATAAGTGTATAGAACGATTATATACAATTTGAATTTGTATAAAATGAGAAAGAGAGAAAGACAAAAGAGACTTGACAAGGAATATACAATTGAATCGAATTGTATAAAACGAGAAAGAGATAAATTAGATACAATTTGAAAATTGTATAAAACAAGAAAGAGAGAAAGGCAAAAGAAACTGGGCAGATGAGTATTTTTATTGTATAACTATAAGTGTAGAGGACGAAAATATATGTACTTGCATGTGTATATACAATTTTCTCACACTTTATACAAACAGAAACACAATTTATACATTTCGCTTCTGTTTGTATAAGTGAGAAAGGCGACGGTGGCGATCGAGATTTGGGAGAGTGGCGAGCGAGATCTAGAAGAGGGGAGAGAGGGGAACAAAATTATATGTATTTATACAATTTTTTCTGCTTTATACAATTAAATTTTTTTTTATATACTTGTGTTTGTATAAAAAGTGAGGAAGCGAGCAAGAGATTGGAGGAGAGTGGCGAGCGAGATATTTGGGAGAGAGACGCTTGACAATTTTTTTGCAAACATTTACTATGGAGCTCAATTAAATCAAACCCTAGTTACTCCATCTATTTTAGGTTATTAGTTTGCTATTATATATAATTCTTCCAAAAAAAAATATAAGGCACTTTATTAACTATCTGTTCTAAATCGAAAATTAAGGAATATACAAAACTTTTTTACCATATTAAAATGGTTATATTCATCTGTATTTAGTTTCAATGAACCACGCCTAAAATGTAAGATGGGTCTTAGATTTTTCGTTTGACTTTGACTACATCGTGTACCAATAATCTTCACCATTTGGAGCGTGTGTGTTGACTTTGACTCTCTCATAATGACACACGTGGATAAATTTATGATATATTTATGATATAGTGTGTGTATATATATATATATTAAGTTCATTGAACTAACTTTCTATGTTAATTAAGTAGTCTAGTGAGTAGCTCAAATCTCTAAAACATCTGAACCGACGACTCCTGTTTTAAAAAACAATTTGACGAATATGTATTTAATCCTTATGTTTATATATTGGTCCTTAATTATTTAATGAATTGTGACATAAATTGTATGCTCAAATTGTGTATTGAATTATTATTTTTATGTGGTCCTAAATTGCACTTGCCACAATGTCACGTGAATGTGATAATTATATATGGTCATTTAAGGAAAACAAGAGTCAAATCAAGATTGATATCTGGAATATATATGTTCCAAAATCAGATTGGAAATTTAAATCAGTTTTCTGTGCCTTTCATAAATTTAGGAAAGCTGTTTAAGTAATACCCAAAAGACTTATCACTGTGAGTGGTTTAATAGCAAGAATCGATGTCATAAGTTAATTACCTTCAACATTAATCAATTTTTCGATCTTACCTTTAAAAAAATCAACCACTATATATTTTGAAGTTTCAAACTTTTTTATATAAAACTCAAGATTACGATATCTGTTGTGATTTTTGTAACTCTAGCCTATATAATAGGGATAATGCCCAAGTACCCCCTCAACCTATGCCCGAAATTTCAGAGACACACTTATACTATATTAAGGTCCTATTACCCCCTTGAACTTATTTTATTAATAATTTTTTACCCCTTTTTAGCTTACGTGGCACTATCTTGTAGGCCCAACGATGGTTGACTTCTTTTTTAGACTAGTGTCACGTAGGCTAAAAAGGGGTAGAAAATTACATATAAAATAAGTTCAGGAGGGTAATAGGACCTTAGTATAGTATAAGTGTATCTCTGGGATTTCGTACATAGGTTGAGGGGGTACTTGGATATTTTCCCTATATAATAACATATGTGGATAAATTTATGATATAGCTATAAAATCAATTTTTTTTTATTTTCTCCTAATAAATAGATCTTTATGCATATATCGCTGTTTGGGAATTGGGATGATGTATTTAATTTGATGTTGGAAAAAAAAAAGAAGATGCAAACCATATGTCTTATGTATTATTATTTAATAATATATATACATAGCTTGTGTTTTAGCATGGTATTGGTCTCTTTCCACATAATAGAGCTATTGACATTTTGTTTTTTGACCAAATCTGTCATTCCAAATATATTTGCATATTTAACATATGCTTTTTTTTTTAATCAAAAAATTAAAATAAATACAGATATAGCCAAGTTTTACAGCATGCATGATTCATGAACAATGTATAGCTTTGTGTTTGTTAGCCATCAATTACTAGAATGTTATACCACCTCTATACGTACTATATGTATATATTGTCTTGCTAACAATGTATAGTTTTGTGTTTGTTAGCCATCAATTAATCAACACATTTTACCAACATATTATTCCTCAACTATTGACAAATACACACATAACCCATTTCCCAAAATCCAATAGCATATTTAGACCTTTTTTGGCCTTCCCAAAATTCAAAAGATCTACTAGGAGTAATATAGATTAAGACACGACACGTATGTCCCAAAAAATATACACCCCTATATATGATATTAACTCTTTTTAATTTTTTAAAAAAATCTATTTTCTAGTAATTAAGTACACCAATCATGTTATGCATATATATAATTAGGTATTAAGGAATGTTTATACATTTTTGTTATATTATTAGCCTTAATCTTCTTTTGGAGTCACAGAATTTCATATAAGTGACCATTATTAATTACTTTCCTAATGTATTCAAATTGCAGAATGTCGAACATGTTCAATTTCGGGAAAAATATAATTCAACGTAACCCTTCAATTTTTGAATAGAAAAATTTCTTGAAAATTAGACCTCAAAATTCATTGACCATTAAGCACTATTAGGGGTCATTTGGTGTTATGGATAAGATTAATTAATTTTAGAATAACTTTTTAGTGGACTTTAATTCATTGTTTGGTTGCAAAGCAAAGGTAGAAATAACATATCTCAGGATTAATCATTAGTCTTGAGATAAGTTATTGCTCAGTGGGGGTGGTATAGTAATCTCGGGATAAATTATTTTGGGGTAAAGTGTGTAAATTAACAGAAATATCCCCATAAACTCTCTTTTATGCACTACTTTTACATTTATACATATTAACATAATTTTTAACAACATTTATAATAACATTCACAATCTTAATTATTTGTTGTTTTTAGGGAAAATACCCAAGTACCCCCTCAACCTATGCCCGAAATCCCAGAGACACACTTATACTATACTAATGTCCTATTACCCCCCTGAACTTATTTTATAAGTAATTTTCTACCCCTTTTTTGCCTACGTGGCACTAGTTTGAAAAAAAAAGTCAACCATCGTTGGACCCACAAGATAGTGCCACGTAGGCCGAAAAGGTGTAAAAAATTATTAATAAAATAAGTTCAGGGGGGTAATAGGACCTTAGTATAGTATAAGTGTGTCTCTGGGATTTCGGGCATAGGTTGAGGGGGTACTTGGGCATTATCCCTTGTTTTTATGATAAATATATGCTTCTATTAAAAAAATACATTTTTATAAATACAATTTTTATTTATGGATATATTATAAGTTGAATTTATTTGCATAATTATTATGTTTTTATATTTTGATTTCTCTTACAATGTTCATTCCACTACTAAATTACATATTTTTCATTAAATAGTTTATTACTCACTTAAAATTATATTTATCTATAACTAAAATTTAGATAACTTTAGTTATAAATTTTTTTATACTTTAATAAACTTAGAATGAAATTATTTTTAAGCTAAATAAGATGAAAGTTATTTTTACGCTAAATAAGATGAAAGAATCTTATTTTTATGTTAAATAAGATGAATATTTTATTTTAAAGCTAAATAAGATGAAAGTTTAAGTTAAATGAGATGAACATTTAAATTTTAATATATACGACATAATCATGGCAATACACACAAAAAAAATATTTAAGCTAAATAAGAGGTAATTTTTATTTGTAAGAATGAATAACTAAATCTTGTACAAAAAAAAAAAACTAAATAAGGTGAGGGTATTTTTGTAAACAACCAACAACTTATTCTCAAAAAAAATAAATAATAAATATTAATTTAAATATGACAAACCAAACAAACAACTAATCCCTATACAACATATTCCAGCATAACTAGTATTCAAATCAAACAACCCCTCTATGAAATCCATAAGACAAGAAATAAAACAAAATTGCAAAACAATCAATAGATTAAGGTCTAATAAGACATAAGTAGATAAGTGAATCGTTGAAGAAGACATTGAATTTTGATATAGTACAACTCCATACCTTTTTATGGTTATTCATGTTAATCTTAGGGTATTCGATATAACTTTACAAGTAAAATCTGTAAAAGATATACATTATTCTTATCTTTATTTAGAAAGATTATTTTTGATTGACTCTCAAATCAAAAATAGTGTAATCGAGTATGATTTTTCAAAAAAACAAAAAAACATCAATATAACAATATGAGCGAAATAAACTAAGTAATAGGCATTGTAAAAAAGGAAGAAAAAGATGCTTATGACTTATCTCCGTTACTGAATTGGTTTTCCTCTTCTCCCTAATAAGCAAAGAGCCAAAGACTAATATTGAAATGAGTTATTTCCTCATATGATATTCGACATTAATCCTTTCATCATCAATTAGTTTTTTCGAATGAAGTTAG